AATCAGTCACAAGAACGTCGAATCTGAATCACTTGAAAAAAACACGGGGGTGCTTAACTTTTTTCCAGGTGTATAGTTAAATCTTTGCACCTGTCCCTCCACTACTTCAGTGTGAGATTCTAGCTTACATGTGTGAGCAGATGTGTATCATCTTGGAAGTTAACATTTTCCTTACCTGAAAACATGTTTTCAATGGATACCTCTTCACATACATTCCCATCCTTCCTTCCTTCCCACTTTTGATGCATCTTAGTATTCCTCTGATGCTCCCTGTTGTTGAAAAACATGTTTATTTCACATCACTGTTTTTTAAGACTTCTTTAAATTCATAAAGCTTCCTTAAGTAGATCTAAACAATTCACAGTTATAGGTGGTAGAAGTTTCAATAAATGTTGATTTTTTTCTCTCCAACTGCTATCAGTATACATTATATGATCTAATCCAGATAGTAAATTTGAGACCAATCATAATCAGACTTTTAGTTTTAAAATTATCACTGACCAATAGACAATAACCCATACAATAAGAACATCTTTCTGGGTAGTTTTGGAAAAAGAAAGTTGTACTATCATAAGTAATCTATGTAAATGTTTCATCGTAGTGAAATGCTTTGGTGCAAAATATTCTCTTTTTGCCTGCCTACTTTCTGTGTGAACACTTTTTTTATAGTGCTAGTAATATTATACCTTTTTCACATAGATGCCATTAGAGATAACCCGCAGTTTTGTGGAAAACCGAGATGGGACATATGACTTATACAAACAACCAAGTACAGAAGTTGAGGAGCTTGCAGAAAATTTCTGTAAAACTCAAAATACACCACTGATAAAACCCTTTGAGCTTAAGACTTTCCTTAAAGTTGGTAAGAATGTATTTTCATTATAATTTTTTTCTAATAATTGAAAATGTAGATTACATTTTTCAAGAATTTTTTGAATTTAAAAAAAAATTAGTGGAGTGACCTGATTTATCGGTAGGAAGACCATAAAAAATATATTTAATCATATCAAAAATCATAATTAATTTTTTATCTTATAGGACCAGTAAAAAAAACTGTAGAAAGCTCTACTACATTAATCTATTTATATATGCACATACACATACATACATATATTGTTTTGTGTTATAATTATGAAAATATTTTTTACACTTTCTGCACTAAGCCTCCTACAGCATTATTGTGTTTTCAAATACTAAATTTTTATCAGCCAATGAATATTGTAAGTATTTTATCAATAAGTAATTAATATATATTTCAAAATTTATCAAATGAAGGAAACTAATTTTTTGGTTATTTTTGGATTTGCAACATATCTGGCATTTATAACATCTGAGAAATCATATGATGTGAACAAACATTTAAATGCTACAGAGCAGAGAATATAAATTATTATTTCTTTTTTTAGAAAATTTTGACTGGAATAAACATTTTTATAAATTATATTCATACACAACCTTATGATCAATATAATTATAGTAAAGTGTGAACCCATACAATTAAGAAGATTTATTGCTGGCATTAGTCTGTTAAGTAAACTAGCAGAAATACTCACCCTCCGGACAGGTATAACTCTTAGTTCCTGCGAAAGGCTACTGAGCCAGTGGCCTTTTCTGGAATTGTCTGACAATTCTACAATAATGTTCACCATCTATGAGAAAAAGGATTTTATTGAAATTTTAGTTTACAAATGAGCTGTCATCACAGAGTAGATTTTACTGAAGTATTTCTTTGAAGACACAGTTATCAATGAAAATACCATGCTTTTCTGTTGCAACACTCATGAGATTTTCACTATAGAAAAACAAATAATTTTTTTAGTTTGTTTTTTGATTGTTTTAATAACTTAAAGGAAGAAAACATTTAATACAGTGTGGAAAATTAAACCTGAGTGTAGTTAGAAGAATACATCATTAATAGCTATATTTTCAGAATTCAAAGCTGTTTTGGAGAATTTGGCACATACTTTGTATCCTAAAAGAAAAACATCATCTTTAGATTTAATGAATTTGCTTCAATTTTAATTATTCATCCTGTGAAACTGTGTGACAATTTTATTTTATCGCGATATTTGATGAAAAGTATGTTTTCAGAGCTACTTAAATGTTGTAAAACTAGCAAACACAGATGAAGGTGGCTCACTTTGATATATTGTGAATTGTAGTGAAAGGGTTGCATGTATGCTACCAGACAACTGATCTGTTATGTCAAAATACTAAGTCTATAGTTTCTTACAAATTAGGAACTAAAATTAACATTATTGACAAGCTAGGATATAAAATGAGAGCCTCTTATCTTTTCTACTTGCTAAGATATTGCCCATGTACTGAATCAAACACAGTGGACCCACTCACCTCTTTGCATTTTTGAAAATGTTCCTTATATATACACATTTACTTCTATATATGACGTGAATAACCAATTGAAAGCTCAGAATGTCCTTCTAGTGGCTTTCTCAACCATTTTAAATTGTTAGAATGTGATCTCATTCTTTCTTAGTTACTAAGCTTGATAAAATTATAGTGGAATTCTATGGTATTGATATAGTAATATATGAT